GCTTCATTAAAGTGATATTAAAGGTTTTTTCCTTTATTATTTACATTATAACAACCTAATTATTATTGGTTGTTGGCAAAGCCCTCAGTATCTTTAACATAATTGGATAAGAAACAATTTTCCCAAGCAATCTAAATTATCACCAACAATCTAAACCTAGATTCTTCCCACTGTATAAGTTATAAAATCTAAGTCATTTCTTAGAAATTTAAACATTGTCAGTTTATCTGGAGTTTGATACATACTACTGGTGTTTGTCCTCCAATTTTTGATGCCCCAATTCCTGAAAAGTGTCCTTTGCATATTAAGTGAGCAGTAAGTGTTTGTCTTCCTGCAAATGGGGTTTTTACTGCCAAAGCAAACTAGCTAGAGGGATTCACACAAAGTGACAGGAAGACTGAAGGACAACCTGGCTTACAGGTCTCCACCATTATCGTAGCTCTTCATTCCCTAGTATTTTCGGGGAGGGCATTTGGCTCCCATGAAATAAGAAGACCTTTATAACAGCAACGCAATTCATATTTAACTAAAAAAGTATTAAAAACAACAATAACTCAAGGCTAAGGGCTAGAGGGTAGAAGACATAAACTACCTGTGTTCTAACTGAACTTCCAGGTTGAGTTAAATTTATATACAAAGACTACATTTACCTTGTGGCAGCAGATGTAGACACATACTCACATTCTAAAAATATCAGACAGTGTGAATTTATTCAAAGTTACCCGTTTTGATGGTTGTCAATTCAGCATAGGAGAAATAAGTAAGAAACATTTTTTTTCCAGTGAAAGCAGAGGATGTCTCATTTAAAACCAGTATCAGAGACCTACTAGAGAATGGACTTGAGGATATGGGGAGGAGGAAGGGTAAGCTGTGACAAAGTGAGAGAGTGGCATGGACATATATATACTACCAAACGTAAAATAGATAGCTAGTGGGAAGCAGCCGCATAGCACAGGGAGATCAGCTCAGTGCTTTGTGACTACCTAGAGAGGTGGGAGGGAGGGAGACGCAAGAGGGAAGAGATATGGGAACATATGTATATGTACAACTGATTTACTTTGTTATAAAGCAGAAACTAACACACCACTGTAAAGCAATTATACTCCAATAAAGATGTTAAAAAAACAAACAAAAACCACAGTATCAGTACTTTCTAGTGTTTTCTCAAAATGCACTACCATTTACCACAAACTTAGATCCCAAAGGCCGAGGGGGACTTCAGTACTGTACTGACTCCAACCCTTAGCTGGCTGCCCTGCCCCCAACCCCTGTATCCTGCCGCCCAAAGACAAGAACAAAGACCATCTACCTCCTACTGTTTCTTTTTTTGCATTTTGGCTCTTAAAAACAAGTCAATGGGTCAACATAAGGTACACTTTTTTTTTGGGGTGGTGGTGCTGATATTTGCAGTTAAATGAAAGATTTAGGTCAGTGCATCAGGATTCCATCAACTTTATTTAAATGATAATTTTAGAAAGTTCTAAGAGGAAAAATCAGTCACAGGAAATTTGGACTCAACATTTTTAATCTGAAGACCTGAGGGGGGTGGAGGATGGGAGGACAGGAGGGAATAGAAAGTAAATTGACTCCTACATCAATGAATTGCTATCATCAATCTCTCTACTTCTCCCCCAGTGAGTTAAATAATAAATTTCCTTCTAAAAAGGTATATTAATCTCAGGTTGAACCAGGGCCAATAAAATACAGAGAATTTATTCTGAAATAGTTAACAGGAATAATCACTGATAATGTTTTCAAACACATAAGAACCTTTGAAAGTGTTCTTAAAGTAAATTCCCACAAGATTCATCTTTGCTGAAAATATTTTTAAGGCCTCCCTTAAAACTTCCTTTCAGAGCATGAAGCACACTCTTTTGCAAATCCTTAACAGATGCAAATCTATTGCGTTCATTTAAATATGGTTATGTGGGAAAAGAGAAGCACAAAAACAGTATCATTAAATATTTACTTATTAAATATTTACTCAGTATAAAGTACACATCAGCCACCCTCAGGTCTTAAAACCACCTGTTTCACTTACCCATATTATAAATTAGATTGTTGCTTTGCTACAACCTTGAGAATTTTATGTTGGAAAACTCAGGTTAAAGGTTGCTCTTGATGAAAGATTAGAGAGCTGAGGGTTGGGAAAAGGATGATGCAGAGCAGACAAGGGTCCCCCCCAACCCAAAGAAGTTGGTCAAGAAGGCAGTTGAGTTAGGATGGGGAGAGAAAAGTGTACTTAGGAGGGTAAGTTCACATGGCTTCTCCAAAGCATTTAAAAAAATCTCAGTCACCTAATATTCTAAAACAAGAGTGAGACCAAGGAGGTTAACAACTTTCTTGTACTGTTTAATTAGAGGGAAAAAAACCCACTGAAAATAAGTCCCTCTTGGAATATACATTCTCTGCAACAAGATGGGGGTGATAAATGGGTAGGAAAATCCCAGAGTGTCATGAAAGCAAAGCATGGATGTCTACAGTACCCCCATTTTGCTGATCATCTATTCATCATCACCCTGTTCATTATCTTAAGCACCCCAAAATATGTTGAAGAGCCTGCATAGCTATCTGATCCTCCCCCATCCTTTCTCTCCATAAAGTCTTTCAAATTTCTTAAGATAATAAATTTATCACTTTCTATTGGCTGATTTTCTTTCATATTATCTTGCAATGCTTGCTACTATTTATTAGTTGCACTTCCGTTTCTCTGTTAATATGCTGGGATTTAGTAGTGCTTTCACTAGCAAGCCTTCTTGTAAATGGGATAAATAGAACAGAGAATTGTATCTTACGTTCTAGTAGGAACAGGTGTTACAGTAACAGTGCTTTCTATAGCTGATGCAATTTGTTGCTAGGTTTATTATTATTTTGGTATAAAACTGCTGTGGCAAGAGTAAGAGGACTAACAAATTAGGTCAAACTTTAGTTGCTTTATTGAGTCTGTGGAGTTGTGACTCATGATAGGAGAGGGCCTGGCATAGAAAGAATAGAATAATATAAAGAACTTCAAGGAAACGAAGTCAGATCCTGCAGAAAAACAAATATACTGGTTTCCCTGCATACCTTTTAAGCAACTGGAAAATACTGCCAATAAGATAGTATATAAACTCGATGTCCATTCTAAAGAAACACTGCAATTTAATATTTGCTAACTTTGCCTCTTCTTCCATCATCTTTGATTTTCTTGGGAGCTTGAACTTGTATTCTTGATTTAGAGAATAAGGGAGTGGATAGGAAGAAGGCGCTGTAGATGGACAGTGTGTATGTTTTATGTAGTATTGGAGCTGGAAAGGGAAACCAGAGGTCAAAGTGGTTCAAAAGTTGGTTTTAGAAGAGGAAACTGAGAGCTAGAGGATAATTAAGCTCTAAAGGTTAAGTCCTAGAAGTGGGTGGGGTCAATGCAAATTTAGCAAGTAGTAGAGGTAAATCATTTACCTTTGCAGTTTGAAGCAACCTTTGTTCCTGGGCTAAGAATGCCAGCAGAGCTCAAATTTTTCTGCTAGAGAGATTTCTAAAAATCATCCTTAGAAGTCAGCTGGTATAACAGATCACTGGACCAGATTTACAGAGACAAAGGGTCTAGCCCAACATCCTCTGTGCTTATTAGCCAAGCAACCTCCAGCTAGACTCTACCTCCTCGGGCCCTTTATTCTACATAATTTTTTAATAGAAAAAAATGGTTTTGCCACGTTACTTTTAAGCACTATTAAAGATGCATTGTGCGATTTTAAGGGGGGAAAAGTAGCGGGGGAGCCTTTATTTGCTCAAAGAAAGCAATCTGACTGCAGAAGAAGCCAAATCTACAGACATTCAAAAATTTAAACTACAGGATAACTTAGTGACTATCAAATTTTAACCGACTCATCCCCTTTCTTCAAGCACTTTATCTTTTCCTCAAGCTCAAATCTGGTGCTAGCCTGAACCAGTACACACCCACAGGGCTATTTCATTCCATTGGCTGGCGGGCCGTCCTGCAGTCTACACCCTTTAGACTTACTGTCAGGATGCCTGGTGTTTGTCAGGTGTTACACTGCTCATGTATTACCTTTTTCTGTGTGTGCAAAACTGAAGCTGCCAGAGTAGAAAAGTAATTTAATAAAATATCGAAGTATAATTAATAAATTCATCTGGTTAGTAAAACTCTGAATTTCAAACTTAAAAGGCAATTCATTTTGTATGTTCCTGTATCATCTGTCACTGTTGTACAAAGAGTGAAAAAATCCGAAAACAATTATTTTGTGGTTTGCGTTCGCCTGAGTCATAGAAGCCCACAAAATCTTGTAGAGGCACAATCTGATGGGCCGGTCATTTCCTTTTCTACAAGTGATTTCCGTCAAGACCCACCCTGTTTGTCACAGTCGCTAGGATCAAAAGAGCGGTGGCAGTGTCTTCTGCATACAGCATCAACAAGCATAAGCCGGGGATGACGGCTCGCGGGGGAAGGACCAACTACGTGGTGGGGATAGGGCGGAAAATTCACTATCCACCAGAGCCTGACACATCCCAGGCCGGGGCTGGGAGGGAGCGGGGAACGTGGGAGGTGGACAGTGCCCGCCGGGGTTGAGTCGAGCCGTGACCCGGAGGCAGGAGGCAGGAGGCCGGAGGCAGGAGGCCGGGCGGGGCGGGGCGGGGCAGGGCCGCGGGACAGGGCGCGAGGGGCTCACCTCCCTTGCAGGGCGTGCGGTGCTGGCTGTGCTGGGCCCGGTAGCCCTCGATGACCTCCCAGGAGCCGTCGTCGCGCCGGATGGGGAAGGACAGACTCAGCACATGGTTGCAGGGCTTGATGATCCGCAGGATGCCACGCACCCGGTTCCGCTTCTGCTCCTCGCTCTCCCGGATCTTGAGGTCCTCCACCAGCTTGTCCTCCACGATGCTGGCGCCGCGGTCGAAGAAGCCCTCCACCATCTTGAAGAAGTTGGGGTCGTCCTCGCGGTCGGCCGCCGCCTCGCTGTACTGTCGCCGGCCGGGCAGCGCGAGCCCCGGCTGCGGGGTGGCGGCGGCTGTGGCGGGCTGCCCGCGGGCCCGGCCCAGCAGCGCGGCCGAGTCGGCCGCCGCCGAGCCTAGGGCTGCGGGCCCGACGCGGGACAGCAGCAGCGCTTCACCCAGGCACCGGTACATGTCGGCAGGACGGAGGCCGCAGAGGCAGGCGCTCTCACAGGCCCGGGGACGGACAGAGGGAGGAAGGGCCCCGCGCGGGCTGCCCTTTTAAGCTGTAGCTTCCTGCCTTCCTGGCTGTCCCCTCCCCTCCGGCGCTCGCCGCCTAACGGGAGGACGGACTTAGGGTGCAGTGGGCCAACGTCGCCTGTGCCTTGCAGGGCGGGGGCGCGCGCCGCCCAGGGAGCCGGGTCGGCGGCGTGCGCCGGCGAGGGCTCTCGGGGGCGCGCAGGCGTGGGCCGTCCTGGTGCGCATGCTCGCAGGGTGAGGGGCGGGGCGAGGCACCCAGCAAGCTTCCGGGATTTGCGGGGAGCAGGTGTCTCAGGTTTGTACGCGCCCCGGGCCTCGTCCGGGGGGCTGTTTTGCCGGGGGAGGGGGCCTTCCTGGGGAAGGGGCCCACCCGCCTCTGGGGGGCGCTTGAGAGTCCGGTCCCGAGACCGCGCGCGGGTGAAGGTGGTGCGGTCTGGCGGTGGGCCGAGGGCGAATGAGTCATGGGTGTCCCTCCTTTCCGCCCGCGCGCCCTCGGGCGCGGGGCAGCCGTCCTGTCACCCTTGCATCTGTCTTGGGGCGGCCCGGAGAAGCAACGTTTGGAGGCCGGGCTAAGAGCTTGGCTTTATCCGCTGGGACTTCGAAGAACTCTTGTCATCGGAGTTGGAGTTTTGAAGTGGCTTGCAGGAAGTGGAAGGGAGAAAGCCTGGGAGCTGGGGAATCCCTTACCTATTGGCTTTCACCACTTCAAGTTTTTAATTTTGTTCCATTCAACCACTCAGTGAGGTTGAGATGAAATAGTTATGTTGTATCAAATACAAATTTGATACAAATCGTTGTATCTTTCTGAAATTTACTGAGTGTGCTTCCCCATTTCAGAGATACGTTCTTGAAATAGTCTAAAAACAAGGACACTGTAGAAATGCAATAATAACTCCCGGATATTGTTTCTCAGTAGTATATGTATTAATGGTCCAGAATAGGATTTGTAAACGTTAAGAGACATGAGGGTTTAATTATGTACTTACACATACTTGATGAGAAATGCTAAAGTTATGCATTAGATGCTTGGAAAAGTCTAATAACTCAGTTTTTAAGACAAGCTATCAAAGGCCGCATAACCAGCTTTAGCGGTCCCAGTGTACTTTCGTGATTTTAAAATGGCACTTTTTTGACCTGCAAAACGATTTTGCTTCCTGACATTCACTTTATTCATCTATTAGCATATGGAAGAGAATGTTTTAATTCTCACAGTATTATGTACAGTATAAGGTGATAACCTAGATGAACTAAATTACATTAATCTATTCAGTGTGCTGTCAAAGCAAAAAAGGCGGAGCTTATCTTATTTTTATCTTTTTTTTTGTATTATTTGCTAGATAAATGATAGTCATTATATTTGTATTGTGTTTTTCAGTGATAACTATTCTCTGGACTGAATCCTGAATTTGTCTTGTTGGTCAAATGATTAAGGTACTAAATTTCCTTTTCACTTGATAGTATTATTTTATATTGCAAAAACAACAACAAGCAAATACAAAGTATCAGAATAAAGTGATAAGAATCAGTGAACGTGGAAATTTTTCCCCTTCAGATTAAATTCTTAGGTATGTTTTGAGGAAAGTGGTTTAAAAGCTTAGTTTTATTGCCCTTGTTTATCTCTTTCTTGATAACTATAGCCTTCAGAAAAATAAATGTTTAACTTTGCTTCTTCCCAGTTTTGTTCACCTGAATTCAAGAAGGTAGAAAGGCTATGGAAGGAGAGAGGAAATTTTAACTGAGGAAATTTTAATCTCCTATGTGTAGATGTTTTACGAAATATCTCTAAAAGAACCTCTAAAAGTAGATTTTTTAGTTTTTAAAATCATTATGTTTTTAAATTATTTACAAGTTGTAAAAAAAATTCAAATTGTATAGATAGATTTTTTAAAAAGAGTGGAATAATCCAAACTCTGTCCTGACCCCCACCTTCCCATTTAGTAAGTAGTTGGAATGTTTCTTTTCATTCTGAAGTAGGTATTATAATTCCCGATTTATCTGGAGGGTGAACTGAGGCTCACAGAGACCAAGCAAATTGTTGATGATCACCTAGATGGTAAATAGCACGCTAAGATTCACACCGTGTATCTGACTCGAAGTTATGCTGTTTCTGTTATTCCAAGAAATATTTTAAGTGTTTGTTGCATTTAGTTTAAAATTATTTACTGTGATGTAAAGTCTAGCAAGTTTCAGCTTTACACTGATGATTCCTTTATAAAATATACAGATACTTTGTAAATTAAAGTTTATTGATAATAATTTTCAGTTCAAAAGGAGACTAGATTGGGATTGACATGTATACACTAATATGTATAAAATAGACAACTAATAAGAACCTGCTGTATAAAAAATAAATAAAAATTAAAAAACAAAACAAAAGGAGGCTAGAATTTAACTTGAAGGGAATTTTGGTCATTTGATAGCATTCAAAAAAGACAACTGGTTTTCTGCCTTTAAGGTTTATGAGTTTTCCTTAGCTGTTTCAAAATTCCAGGTCTTTTCCCTTTGATTCATAGCATGCGTTTGTGCTTTCAAGTGCTTTTAAAAATAGTTTAGAATTATTTTAGGATTTAGAAAGACAGCATATAAATACAGGAACAACATAGTTTTTTCAAAATAATTTAATTTGGAAAGGTAATACATACTTTCTACTTTCTGTCTCTAGATTTGTCTGTTCTGGACATTTTGTTTAACTGGAATCATGCAATCAATATATGGTTCTATATGGGAACATATGTATAACTGATTCACTTTGTTATAAAGCAGAAACTAACACACCATTGTAAAGCAATTATACTCCAATAAAGATGTAAAAAAAATTTAAAAATAAATTTAAAAAAATATGGTTCTTTGTGACTGGCTTCTTTCACTTAGCGTATGTTTTAAAGATTCATCCGCATTGTAGCATGTATCAATATTTCTTTTCTTTTAATGGCTGAATAGTGTTCATTGTATGGCTATAGCCCTCTTTTTTTAATCTATTCATCTTTGATGGACATTTGGTTATTTCTACTTTTGGGGTATTGTGAATAATGCTATTATGAATGTTCTTGTACAAGGTTTTGTTGAGATGGATGTTTTCAATTCTGTTGGGTATGCACTTCAGAGTGGAATTGCTGGGTCTGTGTTTAATCTTTTGAGGAGATGCCCAGCTGTTTTCCACATAAGCTGGACCATTTTAATTCCTATAGGCAGAGGATTCTAATTTCTTTGTATTCTCCCCAACACTTTTTTTTTTGCAGATTTTTGAGTATAGTTGCTTTACAATGTGTTAGTTTCTGCTGTACAGCAAAGTGAATCAGTCATACGTATATATATATATATATATCCCCTCTTTTTTAGATTTCCTTCCCATTTAGGTCACCACAGAGCATTGAGTAGAGTTCCCTGTGCTATACAGTAGGTTCTCATTAGTTATCTGTTTTACACATAGTAGTGTATATATGTCAGTCCCAATCTCCCAGTTCATCCCAGCCCCCCAATACTCATTATTATCTGGTGTGAAGGGGTGACTCATTTTGGTTTTGATTTGCATTTCCTTGATGGCTAATGATGTTGAGCATCTTTTTATGTACTTATTGATGATTTGTGTATATTTTTTTAAAAGAAATGTATATTCATATCCTTCTTCCACTTTTAAATTGGATTGTCTTTTTGTTGTTGACTTGTAAGAGTTCCTTATATATTTTAGCTATAAATCCTATATCAAATATTTGATCTGCAAGTGTTTACTTCCATTCTGTGGCGTGTCTTTTCAGTTTGTTGATGATGTCCTTTGAAGGACATAAGTTTTGAATTTTGATGAAGTCCAACTTATAAATGTTTTCTTTTGTGGCTTGTGCTTTTGGTGTCATGTCTAAGAAACCATTGTCTAATTGAAAGTCGTGAAGATTTACTCCTGTGTTTTCTTCTAAGAGTTTTGTAGTTTTAGTTTTTACATTTCAAGTTGATTTTTTGTGCATGGAGTAAGGAAAGAGTGCAATTTCATTCTTTTGCATGTGGATAACCAATTGTCCCAGCACTATTTGTTCAACAAAAGACTATTTCTTCTCCACTGAAGTGTCTTCACACTCTCTTGAAATCAGTTGACCTAGATGTGAGGGTTTATTTCTGCATTCTTTAGTTCTTTTCCACTCACCCATATGTCTGTCCTTATGCTGGTACCACAGGGTCTTGGTTAGTGCAGCTTCGTAATAAGTTTCGAAATCAGGAAGTGTGAGTCCTCCAACTTTGTTCTTTTTCAAGATTGTTTGGTTCTTCTGAGTCCCTTGAATTTTCATATGAATTTTAGGATCAGGTGGTCTATTTCTGCAAAGAAGTCAGCTGGAATTTTAGTTTTATGTTGAGTCTATAGATCAACCTGTGGAGTGCTGCCATTTTAACAATATTATATCTTCTGATTCATGAACATGAGGTGTCTTTTCATGTATTTGGGTCTTCTAAAATTTCTCTCAGCCATGTTTTGTCTTTTCAAAATATAAGTTTTGCACTTCTTTTGTTAAATTTATTTCTAAGTATTCTTTTTGATGCTATTATAACTGGAATTGTTTTCTTAACTCCATTTTCAGATTATTCATTGCAGGTATACAGAAATACAGTTGATTATTGTATATTGATCTTTTATGCTTCGACCTTACTGAACTCATTTATTCGTTCTTATAATTATTATAGTGGATTCATTAAGATTTTCTCTTTACAAGATCATGTCATCTGCAAGTAGAGGTAGTTTTACTTCTTTCTTTCCGATCGGGATGTGGTTTATTTTATTGCCTAATTGCTCCTTACTCTTTTTTACTGTTGTATAGTTCTTCATTGTATGGTTGTGCCATGATTATTTTTGCTATTCTATCATTGATGGACGTGTAGGTTGTTTCCAATATCTTGAAGTTACAGTGGTGCAGCAGTGAATAACCTATTACATAGAATATCAGTTTTCAAACTCTTTCATCTCAGGACTACTTTACCTTAAGAGTGAGTAGTGAATTTGAACTTAGAAAGAATTTAATAGACATCAGAATTTTGTTTTTCTTATAGAGTTGTTTAGTTCATATTTGACATAAATTTTCCTATCTGGATATTAAAAATGATATAATAAAACCAAATGATATAACAAATCAAATATTTTATTTTTAAAAGGGCTTTTAAAACAAGGAACTAAAAACCTTGATTTTTTAATTTAAATCAGGTCCCTATGTTATTAATTTTTATTTATTTATAAGGCTGCTTTTGGTCTTTGTTGCTGCGTGTGGGCTTTCTTTAGTTGTAGCAAGCGGGGGCTACTCTTCGTTGCGGTGTGCGGGCTTCTCATTGCGGTGGCTTCTCTTGTTGCAGAGCACGGGCTCTAGGCACATGGGCTTCAGTAGTTGTGGCTCGTGGGCTCAGTAGTTGTGGCCGCAGGCTCTAGAGCGCAGGCTCAGTAGTTGTGGCGCACGGGCTTAGCTGCTCCGTGGCACGTGGGATCTTCCCGGACCAGGGCTCGAACCCGTGTCTCCTGCGTTGACAGGCGGATTCTTAACCACTGTGCCACCAGGGAAGTCCCCCCCCCCACGTTACTAATTTTAATAGGTTTTAGTTCTCAAGTGCTTGTCAGTACCTCATTAATCAGCCAGATGAGTGTGGGGGAGAGAAGAGTACCCCATAAAGAGGGGAGACCATTTGCAAAGTCCTGAAGATAAATGACAACATGGTTTGAAACTACAGGGTAGTGTATATTTTGGTTAAAAGCAGTTTGATCATCATAACAGTTTGGCTTAAACAGCTGTTATGAATATCTCTAGTTCTGTTTTTTATTCAAGTATTGGTAATTTGGGTGCATCATGGATTGTTTTTCAAGTCTTTGTGCCATAGTTTTCAGGATAATTTTTTCTAATATTTGCTTTTGTGCTTCTGATTGATATTCAGAAAAGTTTGTAATTTTGGATTTTTTTTCCCCCTTTAGTGAGTATGTTTTTGTAATAAGCAGAAAAACAGTAAAAGAAACTATATCCAAGAAAAGGATCTGAAATTTTCAGGGTTTGTAGTCTTTTTCCTCTTAAAAAACTTTTTTTTTTTCTTAATAAATCAAATGTCAGGTATATCTGCTTGGCTAGTTTGGCTAAGTTTTCATTTTGCTGTGTTGCTGAATAATATTCAACAAAGGTTTTATCAACTCTTGCTTAAGGGTTCTTTCCCTGTTATGAGTAAACATGAAAAATCGTAGTAGGTTCTTTATCCCTTTAAGCATAGCACGCAAGAAACAAGTGAGGTCTCTTAAAAATTAACTGTTCTAAGGTAGGATTTTGAACTCACGTGTATGTAATTCATTATGTCTCTATCTCTCTCTTTTTTTAAATTGATGTTAAGTTTTTTGCTTTCCTTACAGGTAAAAAGGATAGTACCTTGAGTTATTCATTATTCAAGATGCCTCACCATTCAGCTCCACTTATTGATCTATG